GTTTCCAACAGCCATACACAGATATATAGCATATATAGTTTGATATTTCTTGTGAGACTTAACTGTCACCTAAGTTGTAAACTACTCGTTTATATCAATAATCCTCTCCGGACGAATATTTTAATTATTAATGCGTGAACCCCCTGAGGGGTTCACGCTTATATATTGGCGAGTTTTGGATGTATCTATGGGCCACTCGATATCTCTCGGCCGGAAGTCGGAATAAAATTCTCGGAACGTCTCGAAAGTGTTCGATCATTTATACAGGTAGTTATCTACGTCTTTGATACGGTCCCTCTATGGCTTGGCTACCACGTGACATCACACCATCAAAATAAATTGGAAAGTAAACAATAAGGCTAGGTTGCAGTCAATAAATCGTTTAAATATAAGAACCTTTTTGCCTTTTCACAAAACATATGTGTTTTTGATAATGTGAATGTTTATAAGCGCTTTGATGTGAAAGTTTCTAAACAAGTATTATGACAACGCAATTATATTTGTTTTAAAACGACCCCTGTACACTGTGTGTATCTAGGTCAATTATAACGTGGTATTGTGCATTGTCATGATAACATGTAAACTGATTATGTCTGAAGATTTCACCACGTGTGTATTTTCATCATAGACTAAGGAGAGAACATTCTGGTTTAAATGTGTATATTAGATCGGAAAACAGAAAGATAATATTTTTATCAAAAGTATTCAATTTAATTAATTCAATAGAAATCAAATATATACAAAATATATACTGTATTTATGTTTCTGTAGAAACTAAATATTAAATTGAAGTAAGAATATTTTCAGAGTTGCAATTAAGAAATAAGTATTTATATGACAAGATACTCTGGTATTTTTAAATATTCATTTGTAAATGAAACATGCATAATAATTAAATCTGAATAAATCCTTACATCATACAAAAAAAAAATGTTGATAAACAATAATAATTATATTTCTACGTTAATTATTTCCTACCGTTTTAGTAAGGTTTTATAAGTAATTGTTATTTATTTTTTTGTATTGTAATATATCCATAAAACGGAAAGTAAGATAAATTAATTAAATATTTAAATTTTAAACGGTCGTGAATAAAAATACTTGTGTGTTTTCAATTCACAAAGATTTTAAATCCTTGCATCTCACAAAAAAACGTAATAATAATTTACAATAATCATAACAAAATTTAATTAAGTACTATCATAATGTTATTTTTTTGTACTGTTTTAGTATGGATTTATAAGTCTTTGTTTATATTTTGTATAGTAATCTATTCATATAGTGGAATGGTAGAATTTAAAAATAGATTAATTTGATAAATAAAATGTCCGTCCGTAAATACTTGACGTTTGTGTTTATTGTATATATATTAAAAATTTTCGGAAAAAAATTACTAACAGGAACGTAAACTATGTTTATTATAAAATTTCAATTCTATTTTTGTTTGTTTGTTTTAATAGTTTAACCTTATAACATCTACATATTTGACTATGGTACGGTTTTGAAAATTGTATTCACTGTGTTGCCCAACTATCCTACACGTCTTGATTCATTCACATTAAAGATCACATTTCAAACGCACACTATCGGTTTGCAATTCCAATAGTACTAGTTTCACTCGTGAATGCGCATTTTCGTTTTTCTTATCTAAATTTAGGACACGGCTGTAAGAGATTGACATGTGACTTTCATGCACGGTCATCATTACTTACGGTATTCTGACCTCTAGCTGTTTCTCTTTTGTTTCTTTTTTGAGTCACTGTTCTATAATAAACTTTGACCTTTTCGAAAAGCTAAGGATTGTCTACCCAAGGAATAGATTCCTTAACTTTGTAATTTATTTGGCCTTTTAACTTTTTTCGTTTGAGAGTCACTGATGCTTTTTGTAGTCTGGCGTCTGGCGAACATCATTTTAATTCTGGTATCTTTTTATATCTACATACCTTTTTATATAAATTGGTTATTTTGAGGGTATGTACAGGTATTCATAAAATTTCTGAATTAATATATTCTTCGGCAAAACCAGGTTTCCTAGAATATTTGAATTGATTTAAGTAAAATCAGGAAATCCTTAAAATTTGAGATGTTTTATTAGACCAAAAAAAAGTCTCTTTATAAGATGTCCCAATCAGTTGCATACCACAGGTTTCATTGCACATGGAAATTGGACTTTAGATTTATCTATACAATTAACATCTACCATGAGTACAGACAGCTTCAATAACGAGTTGAGAACAGGAAGCAAAATATAAAGATATGATAGATAAAATAAATGCATGCAGAATTCCAGATTATAAAGCAAACTGAGTGCATAAATTTATATTGCAATTGGTTTGTGCAATTTGCATAAGTCATCCAGTTTGTAGAAATTGGGATTTGCAAAAGGGTTATCATCGGGAAAATTATGTACATTCCCAAGTACTAAATAAAATAGTCTAGCTTTAAAATGTATATTCAAATAGTAGATGTAAATATACACTTTCAACTGACTTCTTCTAATCACAGTTATTTCAATTCAAAAGCAAACACAAATTCAGCAACAATATTTTGGTGACCCGGCAGTCAGCGATCTTAGGTTCACGTATTGCTTTTCTTTTTTTTAAAGAAAGCAACTTGTTTTTAGTTTTTACTTTTGATGAATTATAACTATTTGAAAATAAAATGATCTCACTCTGTTGTAAGATAACCCTTTAATGCTGACGTTTAAAAATCCTAATCAATCACTGATTTATCCTTTTTATCACTGAACTTTAATTTTCCCTTAACACACAACTGTATTTTTTTCCTTCTCATTAACCGTTTCACAGCGCTGAAAACTTTGCTAAATGGTACTCAAATGCAGAGATTATTCTTACATTGACCAAGCTCTATTTGAACAATGCCGGTCTTAATATCCTGTATATAATTCCTTTACAACCATTTGAAGACCGCGTTAACTTGTTTTATGTCCAGAATCATATTTTAATACTTGCCACTGGCAATTATTCAACATACAAGAAATTAATCAATAATGTAGTTATAATATTTCCACATGTTGTGTAATACAGAAATGATGGCACCGTAAAAGACATAAATTCTACTGACTTTGAGATCAAATCACTGCAGTCAGCAAAGCTACCATTGAGGCAACTACATTTAACAGTGACAGGATTTTGTACTTCTATGTGGATGTTTTCTTGAATGAAAACTATGGAAGTGTTTTATTAATTTCTTGTTTTTTATATGAATAAAAAGAGACACATGGTATGCGTAAATGAGACATCAACCCAACGACATAAAACCCATGAAGAGTTCGACAATGGTCTTCAACGTTAGATAGAAGCCTATATACATGTAATATGTCAAATTCTAAATCGATCCGATTCTAAAAAGGTGTTTAGTAGCTGTCAAATACATCAAATTCTGCAAAATGTAAAAATAAAAACGAAAAATAGATCAATTTGACATTAATTTTTGTTTAATTTGTATAATGAAAAAAACATTTTATTTTTTTGGAATGAGCAAACTCTTTTTTTTTTTTTACATTTCTCTCATTTTTTACTTTTCCCATCGTTTTATGTACTTTAAGAAATCGATTAAACAAAACATGAACCGTGTATATTAATAGTTATAAAAAATGAGGTTAAGTTTTTTTTTTTACTCGTATTTTTTTTTTAAAGTTGATTGGTTTTAAACGAATTTTTTGTGTGAAAGTTAAAAAAATAACGTATCTTTCTTGTTCATATGAAAAGATAGTAACAGTGCCTATATTGCCCGTTGCAGTTTTTCTTCACTGCATAGTGGGTGTGATCTCCCATGTATGTATATATATACATGTACATGCATATATGCGTCACATGTTTCGGTTAAAAAAACTAAATAAAAATGCATTAAAAGCATGTTGAATTGAACCAAGGCTGGTCATTTCTCGTAAAATACTACTTATTATCCATGTTGGCATGATCGTGCTTTCCAGAAAAGTTCGAAATTGACCCGGAAATTTGCTGCTTAACATCATTATTTTGACTTTACACCTATCTTAAAAGAATTAGGATAGACAATTCTTAATATCTTATGTGCTTTCATGTTTAAATTTCTGCATAGAAAAAAGTGAAATGGTTTTTAGTGCGGTGTGTTTGTTAGAATACTACAACAAATTCAGAATGTTAACTATACAAACGTTACAAAGAATCATAAAAATCGGACTCCATACGCTGTTTATAGTAGACTGATTACTCTGTAGTATATATTAGTTTTCGCTAGATATAATTCAATGGGTTGGTTTGGAGGAAAAGCTATGCGGGTTTATTATCAGGAACAAAGTATTTGCCACATCTGCACTGTGGCATATATATCGTAAGTAACGTCAGAATCCCACAGAGTCCCTACTATATAACTTCCATGATTGTATTCTCTCGTGCATTGTACTATATGTTACCTGCATAAAAAAAAAATCTCACACCTGTGTTTACTGACAACTATATAATTTCTTTATATCATACTTATAGACTTGATGTTGAAAGCTACTACACTAGTTTTGCGCATTTGAAACAATCATATTCATCATTTCAGGAGTTTCAATTAATGAGACAAACTTTTTATGTAGGCAGATTGTAAATAAAACAACTGCATAATTATAAAAAAACAATTCTAAACAATTCCTATCTTCGTTTGTCTAGTTATTCCTTATAGTTTACTAACATTTTTTTTTCACTCTGGCGATCTACACCGTCTTCTAAACAGAAACCTCATCTGATTTATACTTGATGGGTTTCAAAATTTTTTTGGATATGGTTTTTTTAATAAATGCAGTACAGAGATTAACAATTTGATCGGTCTTGGGATGATTTTCAGAGTAAAGGTGACGTGAGCAATTGTTAGCCGTTTTAGAATATTAATTGACTCGTAGATGTCTACTTCGTTAATATTGTGTTGTTGGGTTGCTGTACCATTAACATTTACCACATATTTCCATTTATTAATATTTGCTGAAATCAGGTTAATATATAAGAGATTAGAAATACTTTTCGGTCATATTTAATAATATGTTTTCATTAAAATATGACATTATAAATCTATAATCTAAATACAAGTTATATGAATCTAAAATATCAAAGCAAGCACCCAGCATAATTTTTTTAAACATAAGTTCCGGTGATAGATTTTCGTATATAACGATAGCGGATCTAAAAGGTGGAGGGGCTCACCAAAAACCTTTGCCAAAGAAAAGAAAAATGTACTACAGAACACTTTTTTGCTATTAGGGGAACCCAACCATATTGAGTTATTGGATCCACCTCTGTATAACCAGCCATTAAAAAAAAACTCAAAATATCACGGTTTGAAGCTTTAGTCCGACGTGAATTTGTTGATAAATGCAGAAAGATGTTTGATAGCATTATCAGTTGTATCGTTCGAAATTATTCCTTTAGCTGATAAAAAACTTATGTCCACTATAATGCCCAACTTTTTAAAGTCTGGTTCCGTCAGAATCTTTTCGCTTGGTTTCTTGATTTCTTTTGAATGTAGAACTACCAAAGCAACGTCAGAAGCAGCTGTAAAAATGGTATACATTTTGTAAGCTAAATATATTCAAAACAGTTCAATACAAAACTAAATAATTAACTGATTATTAAATCAAATCGTTGTATAAAAAGCGAAAATGATTGATATCAATTTCAGACGGGAAAAAGTCCATCAAATGTAGAGACTGTTATGTGTTATCATGCATATTTCATCCCTATAAATTTAATGAACCAAATGTCATACGGGTCACAGGGAATGTTTCTTACTATTCGTTGATTATCTTCAGTTTTAAAATGGTTCAGAGAAAAAAAATAAAATAATGTTTTTTTTGTGTAGTTGTTTCTATGATTTTTACTCCTCCTGAATATTTATGTAATTGTTGCCACTGGATGTTAAACAGACATTTACCTTTTTCTTCGTCGTAATTGTTTTGTTCAATTTGGATCTTGTACATCTAGTTCATGATTCTTCTTAATATTCGATAAAAACTTAGTAAAATAATAGTGTTTTGTGCAATGTTAACATGACTTTTAGAAAAAAAATCTCGAATCGAACTATTCAAACCTTCAACTCCATTTAGAGCTCCGTTAGCATCATCAGTCAGTCTAGAGAGGTTATATAACACAACTAATAAAGGAACATTCTTGCTTCTTTTAGATTCCTGTATGATTTCTAGTTCAGCATCAGGGGATTCAGTTTGAAGAAGGGACACGATACCACCGACAGCTTGATCTGATTGGGGTTGCTTTAGAACGCTATGGAAGCTTAGCTCTGATAAAAGACAAGGATATTACTGAATTGTAACAGATCGTGATGTTATAGTGATTATATCTCACTTTATGTGATTTTCAAGCTTTTTTTTTCTCTAATTGGGTTTTTATACAGGACAGTCATTGACTAAGATACTAATCCAAATGAAGTATTGTTGAAACTGGATTTATGTAAAAATCGGAACACTAATTTGATTGAAGCCATTGTAAATCAGTTCGTGTCAAAGGAAACTCCGAAACAGCGGTGACGTTGCTTTGGTAAACTTTTGATAAGTCAGCTAAGTGTAGCAGAGACGACGTAAGAGATTATCAAGAAAAAAACTTTTCATTTTTCTGGTGAACTCTACAATAATGATTAAACATGAGTGAATATGACGGGTGCCGTTTGTGGAACAGAGACTATTTTTCTCCCGATTTGTTTTGGTGGGCATGTTTCTAAACTTTATGGTCGATCCTCTCCAGATAGCTTTGTTGCAAGTGATGCAAGGTTCTCTATTTATGCGGAGTAGAACACTTATATATTTTCTCATTTCTACTTAAACCGTTCTTTCACGATTTTTTTTTCTAATTTACTGAGTTTTCTTAACTATGATTCAGTTTAGAACACTAAATAATACATGTTTACCCAATTGCTAATTTGACAAGGACCGTAAGATAATTTACCAGTGCATGTTGAATCAAACTACGTTCAATTGGATACGTTTTGTTTTATCAATTTATGATGAACTTATTCAAAAACTGAAAATCCATGCATGGTATCACAAGAAAAAAATATATGATCATACGAACTTACGTTTTTTTACCTTGGATTTTAGGGCGAGTGTTTCCTTGTCTTTTTTCAAAAACTCATACTTTTCCAACAAGGAACCTGAAATTGTGATAACAAAATGATAATGTTCAGATGTGAATATAAACACCATTTTTTTTATATGATTACTGATATATTTTTCAACTATCTACGTATAAGACTAGTTGCTCAAAGATGCCAAAAATTTGGATATAATACACATTCAATAAATTCAATTGTGAACAATGAAATATGTATAGAATTAAATCGACAATCTTCTTTCTCCTTGAAAGTTTTAATGGACGCCATCATAATGTGCACCGTTATGGATATGGAATATGTGTGCAACAGATGATCCCGTATAAGTTTATTTCGACGAGGCCACTGTTCCGTACTCCTTTCCTTGTATATAACATTACCGAATGCGACTTTATGAGCGTTTTATGTACCTTGTTGCCATGCGTACAACTACGTCAGTCACTATTAGAGTAAGAAATGGTAACCCTTCCGGAGTATCTGAGTTTACTAAGACACAATTTTAAGTCGAGATTGAGTAACTCATTCTTTAGTTTTCTGTGCAATACATTGTTGATTGATACAATATAAGATGTGGGTTGATTGCCAATGTGACATATTCTTCATTTTTAAACACTATAGGATTGTCAGTTTTCCTACCGAAAGTTGGTGGACACTGGACACTCCGGCTTTCTCCGCCAATAAAAACTGACCATCATGAAAACCCAAAAATGCTGAGAGTGCCGTAAAACACCAACCAATCATTTTAATCGATCAAATATCATGCCTAGATATTACACCTTACCGTAATCATTTGACAGTTCTTGCAACTTGACATTTTCTTGTGTTGCAATGGTCTCATTGATTTCTAAATCAGTTTCTAATTTATTATTTGTGAGTTTAAGATCTGATATTTGCTCTTTTAATTGTGAAACTTTGTTCTCCAAATCTTTAGTTTTTACTTTTTCATTTCGAAAATTTACTGCCTCCAATGAAAGTTCATTTTTTAACTGTTTAGATTCTTTGTCCATTTGTTGTTTATTTAAAGTTAGTTCTGATTCCTTGTTTTGTATTTGATTCCTCAATTCTTCAAGATCTGCTTTCTTTTGTTCTATTGTCTGACCCCTTATTTTATACTGTTCGTCCAAAAGAGAAAATTTCTTTTCCAAATCTTTCACCGTTGCGTCCCTTTCTGTCATACGTTTTTCAAGAGCGAATACAGTCTTTTCTGCACTACTATTTTTATTACGGAGTTCATTGTTGCAATCGTCGAGTTTTGCATTGACTTGTTTCATTTCCTGTAATTGCTTTTCATTTACATCAAGCTTTCCTTTCAGCGCAATGATAAGTAAATTTAATTCTTTTTTCTTTTGATCTTTAGATGAAGTCTCAGTAATTTTATCGTTAATGAGTTTTTTGTTCTGTTCTATTTCGTTACTGAGTTCTTGGATTCGTGTTTCTTGTTCTTGTATCTTATTGATTTTTTCACTCATTTCATTTTTAAACATGTTGATCGTTTCCTCGTCCTTTTTAGACTTTTCATGAAATTCTTCAATATCATGTGCCATTTTATTTGTATCCGTCTCAGACTTTCTCAATTGACCCTGTAAGGTTTTTGTTTTATTCTCCAAGTCTTCGATTCGTTTTTTTGTATGTTCTTTGGTTAGGATATGTTCCTGCTTCTCTAGATTCAACTGACTGCCTAATTTTCTAATTTCCTCAGTGCGGATATCATTATCATTCAGAAGCTGTTCATACTCGGATTGCGAAACTTGACTATTTTGTTCATCTGTGCCGGATGGAACATACTTGTCGCTTTTTGTTTGTGGAAGCAATACTTTACAGGCAACATTTGTAAGTATGTTGCCTCCAGTCTGGGTTACTTCGTTCTTAACCCGCTCTCTCAAAGTTGTGATTTCATCCTCCAGTTCTCTATTTCTACTACTCAATGATTCATTTAAAATTGATAATGATAAATCCTTGTCTGTTTCGGTTTGAGTATCTGCTTCACAAAATACAATCATTCTATCTTTCGAACCTTGATGACTGTAAGTTTTTGTATCAATTCTTTGAAGCTGTCTGGTAAGAAATTCTTTTTCACTCTTTAATGTATTGATATGATTGTCCATATGGCGGAAAATATCCATCATGCCATTAACCGCCTGTTTCCCAGACTTGTTTAACAGCTAAAAATATCAATATAAAATCAAATTTAGCAAACAATGAATTATTTTCCTACTATAATTCATTATTCAACTCAGGTCTACTTTCCTCTAATTTTACTAAAGTTAAACTTGCACGATTTAGCCTTTCTTTTTAATTCGTTAATACAGCTCACATATAGTACAGGGTTTGTTTTGTAACACATCTTTCTTTTTAATGTTCGAAGAAAATGTCCTTCGAAATGCATTGTTTTGCATTTTAGGAGATAACATGTAAAATGGAAAAATACGACATCATCAATACGTTGCTTATTTTAAAATCTCTTCAATCGTTGAATTAACGAATCGATCAATGAAATTGAATACTAGTAAATTAAAACCAAGAAATCAAAGTTATCACACCCAACTCCCATATATCCACAACAAAATTACTCTCAATGGACTCAATTAGTTTCGACAGTCAACTGGAATCAATGGACTCAGTATACGAGACGAGCTGAATATATTAGCGTTTGCTTTTCTCTCACTTTATTTAAGAGTAAGAACACATGAAAAATTCTGCATGCATCATTGAGGTACTGGTTTAACTGATAACTATTTGACATGTTGACGTAATTACAAGTAAGACATCTAAGTCGACATGTGAGATGTTAAATAATTACTAGTATCTAACAAATAATGCTATTACATGTATTTTATGCAGAATAACATCACCTTAGATTTAATTAGGTTACTAGTACTAGCTTAAGTTATATAAGAAAGCTGTCGTTTCAATTGTTGTTTTACTTTAAGATCACCACTGAACCACTTGACCCAAAAAATCCTTAAAGGCTGTATAATTATGATGCCCCAGTTGTCAAACGAACATGCGTATACGCTCATTGCTATTGTAAAAGGAGTTTTTATTAATGCGGAAGTAATTTTAACCAAATTTGGAAGAAATGTCATATTGCTACGTCTTAATAGATATGTATAATGACGACCGGTTACCAAACGTTATAACTTAAAAGTTTGATAATATTCGAAAAAGCTAAAACAATAGAATAGTACTGTTGTATGCAATTTCTTTATTCAATGACCTCCTTGCTTAAATTAACCAAGCAGGTTGTACTGCAACAACCTCTTTGAATTAACGAATTGAATAAAAACCTCAAACTTAATGCTGTTAATGTTTACGGCATTGAGTAATTTAAAGCTTTAATCATATGTTTCAATTCTATTGACAAACACTATAATTTAGCATTCAAATAATACATACTGCATAAAATTAGATATGATTGTTCATCGACTGTAATTAATATTCAAAGACTTTTTGGATCATTCTGTATTTTCTTGCGTGTCAATCATGCTTGTTTTTAATAATTAAATCAAACATGCTTTTTGTAATTAAAATCATGCACATTTTTAATGATTTTATTAACGTCTCCGAGGAGACGTTATTAAGAGTGAACGATGGACAGTCTGCGGGCTGAATGCTTCTTACTATCTGATTGGAAGATATTGCTGACTCTATCCAGGAACATATATACTGTTCCCAGCTCTATCATAGCTAACTTGTGTTGATTGGTTGGGACAATTCGAAACCTAGTAAATGTCTTTTGATCCCGTAAAGTGTCGGAATTGAACTCTCTATTTTAGCAATTAGATTTTGCCTGGTTACCAATCATGCAAATCGGTACACAGGTAACACTTATCTATAAATAGCCGAAACTCCTGAAATATTGTAAACACAACGTTCTATCCAGTCGCTCACTGTTACGTACATCTTGTACACGAAAGTATACTTATAAAAACATCGTGATTTTTTCTTAGCCTAGATTATAAATATTTATACTTAGTAAGATAATCCAAAAGCAATAATAAAAAAATGACTAAAAGGGAGATATGTTCGATTAAATATTAATTTAAACGGGAATTTTTATCTCGGAAAGGGGGTTGCGACCTTTTTATGGTAAAAGCACATATATGTCTCAGTCTGGTAAAAGGAAAATATCCTAGCGATCAAATATTTTTTTTACAATTAGTATGTCTACACATAGCTATGATGCATGGTTACGCTATTTCATCATAGGGGATACATTGCTTGACAAATATATAAAGCATTTACGATAGTGATTTTAATTGCATTTGAAAAAAAAGTATCGACATCTGATTAGTTTCAGATTCAATCTTCAACCTTGACTTAGCTTACATATCACCTAAATTTCTTGACCTCATCAAATATCATGAAGCTTAAAATAGGCCTATTCTAGTGGCTCATCCCTACCTCTCACTACAAATGATAATTAAGTATGATAAGTGCCCCCCCCCCCCCCCCCCCCCCCGATCTTTAGGGTAGGGTTTGGGCTGGGTTGAACGTTTTCTAACTCTCCTTATGAAAATAGCAGACGATGAAGAAGAACAGAAGACTAAAAAAATCGAAAGGGAAATATATATAAAAGAAGAATATAAAACTACTCTCAGACGATGAAAGCAATTATACATGTATGCTATCATATTTCAGCAATGCTTAATTTCTATGAATGATTTTAAAGGAGATATGAAGTATACGTAATTAGTTTAGACAGCAACCAAATTAAACAACAAACAAAACAATTTACTTCTAAAATTCAACCAACGGTCTTCTACAATGGACATGTCATTACAATATTTTAAGTTTTTAATCCTTCAAAGTCTAGCTATGATATATAGAATAGTATTGAATACATGTAAAACAAATATCTAAATAGCAAACAATGAATATTACTTAAAACAATGAAGAGGGTCAAGAACAAACTTCTAGTAGTCTTTATAGGTATTTATTTTCATGTGTATTTAATACTTCTGTCTGTTTTGTCATGATCGTATATTTTTGTAATCTATAAATTAGTATATATATTAATTATACATGTACCTATATGTTGTAAAACATTTGGTTAATAAAGAATTGAATAGTTGTTTTGAGGTTTATTGACCATTTATACTATATATATATGCTATATGAGAGAAAGAGAAATAAAAGAAAATTATGAATTTCAAATACGAAAATACTGTAGGCATTTTAAAAGAACGGTCTCTCACAAAAGATTATGTCAATCCAGTATGTAAAGCTTTGAAGGATTAGTACGATAAGGACCTTATTTGACACCCAACATTGAACGGTATACTGCTTCATAACGTGTTTGGTAAAATTTGCTGATTTATATGCAAGGCTATTCTGAATGAATTATTCAGAATTAATCTACAAAGCGAGACACTTTCCACTTTCATCAGCTAAGAGACGGCTAGCTTTTCTAAAAAAGCTATTACTTGTTATGCACGTTTATTGATTTACCATCAATGGGTCCTTGATATCACTTTTGAACGTGTAGGGACAGAAACATAATGTCTTTCTTTCTTTGGTCAGGTTAAAAATGGTAAAACTACAGATTTAAAATTAGCAGCTTGGAATAATTATAACTTCGTCCTCGAATAAGTATGAAAGGTGTATACAAATGATGATACACACGCAAAATATGCAAACTGAAAACTTGCACAGGTAGATTTTGAAAAAAAATTCAGAGTAAATATAAACTATAAGATTATGAAATACGTGGTTAGATATGAGTATCTACCTTTGCATTATTTTTTTTAATTTTTTGGCTGAAGGAGTGAAAATGTTAATATTAATTGGTTATATTTTGCTACTTTGATAGGAATAGATAAAAATGGAGGTCGCATAAGTCATTATTTTGCACTGAAATAAAATAAGCACTTCAAAATCATGTCAAATTTATTAATAAATGAACAGGTTGAAAATATCTCAATACCCGAGTGCAGACAGGGTATTCGGGATGTCACTATGATGTCACAAACAGTCGAAATTGACATATTTGACCTAAATGTCCATTTTCAAATAGTTTTTGTCCAAAATATACTCGAGCCAAGGCCTTACCTAGAAAAGATATTTTTTTAACACATTAGCATCTGTTTAAAATACAACCTATAGTAAAATATCTATTTGGATAAACCATTGGCTCATATGTAGATATTAATGACAAAATTGCAAAATGAGGCTATTTTGGCAGTTTTGCACAAAATGCAAGAAATCCAAAGGCCTGAATACCAAAGATAAACATATTGATGTCATAAGAGAACATCAGAAGAAGGTTGTTCGGGACATTAATATACTTTTTAATTTTCGAATTTAGGCGAAAAAAATTGCCTTACTGAGTCATGCCAACTCTTTAAAAAACCACACTGTAATACATGCGAAGTGTAAGGATGCTAAGTCGAACCAGAGACACCTAAATATACATATTACATATCTCTGATCAAACTCAGTGAGAGGTTGAGTGATCTTGTTAACTAAATAAAACGGTCACGAATCAAGTCAATTTGAACAACAAACAATTTACATATCTCAAAAAAATAAAGCTGTTGATTTATCGAAAATTTTGTCTCAGCCTGATCAAAAGATTGCACCCATCATCACTTATCGATCAAATTATAAAATCTAAAACATATTTTTATACTTGCCTCAAGGCTATTTACTGCCTTGTCAAAACGAGCTTCAGTAGTGGTCACCATTTTGTTGTTAGACTGTCCCATGGTCCTAGAGCGATGAAAAAACGACATTTACGTCGATCGATTTCTACTTAAACTTAAACTGACTTTCGTTTTGATTAACAATTTTTTAAAAATTTCAATCTGGATTCCCATTACTAAAAATAGATTAAATACCTGGAAGTGTTTGTTCACTATGACCCACGATATATGATCATATATTAAAGTCGGAGGATTTTCTGAGAATTAATTTATCTGAAAATCCAGATCTATAAATAGAAAAAGAAAGTAGATTGAAAATTTCTATAAAGTCTTCATTTATAACTCTAAAGATTAAGACTGGCAAAGGACGTGCAAGTATATATATGATATACATTTTCTTATAATTAACTTAGTATACTGTTATTTTTTTGTTTAAAGTATGGATAACCATTTTTATCAGATTTATATACGAACATCTGTTATGGAAAATGATAACCATAACCTACTTATTTACAAAAAAGAAAGAAAATCAAAAAATATTTTGTCACGGTCTTTATTAGCTTTTTACGTTTTTTACCTTTTACAGATGGCGTCATTTAAGCAGTTGTGTGAACAAGATAAAGAAAAAATTAACAAATGGATAGGAGGAGGAAAGAAGAGATATACACTTCTGTATTCTGCTGCAAATAATGGATGTGATCCCACTACATTTCACACAAACTGCGACAACAAAGGACCAACGGTCACTCTTGTGTACAATGTCAATGGGAACGTATACGGAGGTTATGCCCGTGTCAGCTGGATGTCAGGATCTGGAGAATCCGTGTATGATAGTGATGCATTTTTGTTCTTTTTGAAAGGGGAATCGGGACAGAAGCCTTGTAAATTCATGATAAAAGCACCAGAATATGCCCTGACAATGAATAAAGACTGTGGACCTACTTTTGGGAAAGGACCAGATTTGCTTACTTTTCAAAATGCTATAACCAAGGTAACGGATTCCCTTCCCTTACCCTTAAACAGTGTGATGTCACCTGGAACGTATCAAATTAGCGCAGATACAGTTACAGAAATTACGGGCGGAAAATTTGATGCCGAAGATGTAGTTGTGTATGCTGTAGAAGGTTCGTATAAAAATAACACACTTTCCTATTTTCAAATAGATCAATTCTTCTCAGTTTGGTTATATTTGGTATTCATCATAAAGATGTTACATTTGTATGACCCCCACCACTCCCCATATACTTTCGAATTAGAAGTTCACGTTTAAATTCAATTTAGAAGTAAAACTTAACAGAAACTTCAATCTTAAAAGTTACAGTTTTTAAACACCATTTTTTTTGTGAGGTTCTTGTAGCTCAGTCTTTTGTTTAAAATCGTAGAATGTTGTTTGCCTTTTCGTCGGTTTTCGTTTTTGTCATGGTTGTGTCGGTTTCACTTAAAATTAGGAATTTTGATTGTCCTTTGGATATCTCACCACCCTCTTTTTTTATATACCAAACGGCCTGGTAAGTTTAAAAAAAATACGCCGTCGATGTCTTCCTCCATGTTTTTGTCGGAGTTTTATCTTTCGTTTTGTTTAGTTGTTGAGTCGAGGTTTCTTTGATGTACACTCAACATCTCTTTTGATTATAGATGTTGCACAGGAAATATACTTACCAACTCCATGGAGAGAAATGGACTTACCTACATGGAATTCAGAGGTAAAGTGTTTATTTTAAAAGCTCATTCATCATTGAAGTAAAAATTGGGTAGACGAAAATAAAATAAGTGTTATTCCATCGCCTAGAAATTTAAACACGTATTTTAGAGAAAACACATATATGAAAATTAGGAGATGTGGTATGATTGCCAATGAGACAACTATCCACTAAAGTTCAAATGAAGTGGATATCAGCAATTTTAGGCAGCCCTACGGCCTTCAACAATGAGAAAAACCCATACCGTATAGTCGGCTATAAAAGGCCCTGACATGAAACATATGAAACAATTCAATTGAGAAAACATGTTCTTTTCTATGTAAATCAGAAATCTAAACATTAAATCATTAGTGTAAAAGAATTTTTCATTCGATAATATTGTATATCGCTTCGCGTTTTTACAGCTGCTGAATTTATTAAAAAAAGAAATAGAAGAATACTGGCCACTTCGAGAGATGGGCGTTTCTGAAGATGTCATTCCATATATCAATATACTGTTACTTGGTCCAGTAGGGGCTGGAAAATCAAGCTTCTTTAACACATTGAATTCACTCTTCCGGGAGAGACTGTCAATTCAGGCCAGAGCAGGAAGTTCTGATACGAGTCTAACAAAATCAGTAAGTATTGATAATCTGGACAAGGATCTTATGATAAGGTAGCAAAGCAAAATGAAACGGAAAATGATTTTTATGGATTCTGATTTTAACTCTTTGGTATAAAATCAAGCTTTTAAATTTTTTTGGCCTCATCCCTATGGATTGTACTAACCCTCTATGAATCCGTAGTGGGTCAGTAGTGAACCGTATAACAATTTTATCGCACTTTTTCTGTCAAGTTTTGTATACAGTGGAATCCCCTGTGTCCGCGCGGCAGGTGATTTCGCGCATTACCTGATTTCGTCATATCCGCAATGTAAAACAAATAGAATCGTTCTTGTAATTGTTTTAGTCTTCCGAAGGGACATAACAGATTAAAATTGATAAGTTCAAGCACAAATTTAGAAAGGCAATCCCATGATAAACCATATTTAGCCATTTTCCATAAAACAAAATTACATCAACAGATAAAATTGGTTTCATTTTAAGTAAAATTTTATCAAAATGAAATAAATTTTTGCTCCATATCCTTGGCAGTCTGTTTTGTTCAAACTGAACTATACTACGTAGTATAAAATCTTTACTTTATTCAAAATTAGCTATCTTTAGAAGGAATGTGCGAAATCACCAGACATTTGAAGAACTGTCAAAACATGGGCTTTCCCAAACTCCGAAACAGTGGTGACATAATGCTACGCTTCTTTACAGAGAAAGGGAAGTATAACCCGAATGATAACGCTGTATGGAGTTTGGGGTTTTCCCTAATTTTGGACAGACATTACACAAAATATAAAGGGTAAAACCATACATGAAGAAGATTTCATGAAATCAAAGTATGTTATCGGCAATTTGTACATTTTCCCTTTGATCTTACTGTCTAATATTTTCAACATCATGGACAGGACTTGATACTCGAAAATATTAGGAAATGACGTCATTTATCAGTGCAGCAACGTTACATGCTCAAGTCCATCCGCGTGAATTTATCAATGAAATGCACGCGACTTCATTCATACAACCTAACAACTATCCCAACGTTTTGTACGCGTAAAAGTAGTTTTACTTACTATTTCATTTTACTTCATATTCTCAACCAAAAAACAAACAGTTAAGACAAATTGCCGATAAAAAAGAATAATGACATTTTTTGATACTGACTTCATCGGCTCGAATATCAACTCGCCCTTGCGGGCTCGCTTGCTATTCTTGCTGATAAAGTCAGCATAAAAAAAATGCCATTATTCTGTATTGATGAATTTGTTCACACAATATAATCCGATTATTGTTTTTTAATGAGTTTACCATAGTGAAAGTCTTAGGTGCGCGGATACACCGGACTGCACCGTAAAGTAAACAATGAAATATAATAACGTTAATAGATGACGTCACCATTAATAGTAGACGTGACGTCATGAACCCCATATGAAGTCTACTGACCCCATATGGATTCATAGGGGGTCACCACGTGACGGCGTTAAACCATTCATAACGTCACTAATTTAGCCGAGGTGCGATAATGTTTCTTAATTGGTGCGATTCCCTCAGTTTTTCGTTTGGTACCTTGATTTGTCTCTTCAAATCGATTTACAAGATTTGAACATCAGTGAACTACTGTGACAGTCGCCTTTATCCAACAAATCGGTAATTAGTCTCCTACCGACGAAGTCGAAGGGGAGTTTAGGTTTGCACTCCGTCCATCTGTCCGTCTGTCCATCCGTCAGTCCGGCAAATCAGCTTTCCACACTTTTTTTCTTCGTTCTTGAAGATATTGATTTGATATTTGGTAAATAGTTTTATCATGACAAGTTATAGATCAAGTTCGAATTTTGTTCCGGTCTGATGATTGAGTCCAGAGTTATGGACCATAAATCTGGACCATATCCAATGTTAGAGTACAGTATGTTAAACCATATTTCTGTTCAAAGGGAGATAACTCATTTTTTAAAAGAAATACTTTGTTAAATTATTTGAAGAATTTTTTGGCAGGTTTGTTTGTTATTTAGTATAAACTAATTTTCTGAATACTATAGATATAAAAAAAAATTATGAAGAGAAATCCTTTAATTAGATAATAATCTATTTTTATTAATGTATATATTTCAATACATTACATTGTGTAGATAAAAGTTGTTGACATTTTATAGATAAGTTACAAATCTATATTAGTTTGTGACAAATGAAAGAAAAAATATTTGGACTTATTAATTATATTTGATCATAATTTGAAAATAGATATACACTGTATTACATCATATCTAATTTTAGAAAACTATTAATCATATCTAATGTTTTTTTCACTCATATAATCAGTTTTCCACACTGTTTTTAGTCATGCTTGAAGATATTGACATGATATTTACTTTTTGTTTACACCATGACAAGTTATAGAACAAGTTAGCATTGTGTTCCAGTAAAATGATAGTTTACCCGGTAGGGCACTATGTATTGCCATGCAATACTCTCAGAATGCTTGTTTGAATTGCCTTTTACATTTGAAAATCTTCTAAACAATCTAAAAAATTTCTAGAAATGAAAAAAAAAACTTACTTACTTTGTATTTCAGTTTAATGTCTATTCCATTATCTCAAATCGACGACCTTTGCGGTTCCGGATTTGTGATTGCCGCGGTTTTGAAGATGCGCATGGAGTCGACCTGTTTGATATAGAAGCCATTTTAGATGGAAACATAAAGAACAAATACACGGTAATTTTTTAGGTTGAAGTTTCTGTTAAGTCTAATAAATAAAGACATTAATTGAACATAATTGTGTAATTTATATCATGGGTGTAAAGACATTTTCTCGCTGATTATTAGCAAAAATAAGAATCAATTAGACCGAATGTGAACGAGTTTTCAACGCTTTACGGCAAATGAATTCAGATCAACAAAATAAGACAGAAAAAAAAATAAAATTAAAAGAAATATCCCAAGAAAAATTCTTTGATGAACTGATCGACTAAACTAAGAAGTTTAATGCTTGTATGGAAATGTGATATTGTCAAACGCATACATAGATCAGAATTATAGTTTGTAGATAAATCACACATAACGAAGGAAAGTCCATTCTACAGACGAGACCCTAAAATGCACGACAGAGTACACTGCGTTGCCATCGTTGTCGACGCAAATAACGACCCGGATTATCCGATGACTGAGCATGTTCAGGAACAGATTAAGAGAACACAAGAACTTATGAATCAAAAAGGTATGTACAATATTTAACGATTCCATGTGATGTAAAAGACAATTTATTTTTATACAACCGCAAAATTTTTGCGACCGTATAATGGTATGGCGATGTCGTCGTCGTCGTCCGAAGACATTTGGTTTCAAGACAATTACTTGAGTATAAGTGTATGGATCTTTATGAAATTGTACCACAAGGTTCCATACTACATAAGGAAGGTTGGGATTGATTTTAAGGGTTAATGTCGTAACTGTTTATGAATGAGGGGCCAAAAAGGGGTCAAAACAAGCTTTTTTCTTGTTTCAGGACAATAACTTGTGTATCAGTGTATGGATCTCTATGGAATTGTACCACAATATTCCATACCTAAAAAGGAAGGTTTTGATTGTGGGGGTTATGGTCCAAACCGTTTAGGAATAAGGGGTCACCAAACAAGGTTTTACTGGATTCCGGACAATAACTTGAGTATAAGTCTATGGATATCTATGAAATTGTACCATAAGGTTTCATACCAAAAATGAAGGTTAGGATTATTTTGGGGGTCATGACCTTAACCGTTAAGAAATTAGGAGCCAAAAACAATACTTTTCTAATACTTTGTATAAATTACTTATTTCTATTGGGTTAAATTCAAAGTCTTGAGTTCTTGGGGTTCTTTGATATGCTGAATCTAATCGTTCATATGGATTTTTGATTTTGTGCCCCGTTTTTAAATTGGCCCACATTGAGGTCCAAAATAAAAAAAAAAATGAATTCGTGGGGTCCTTTGATATGCCGAATCTAACTGTGTATTTAGATTTTTGATTTTGGGTCAGGTTTTCAAATTATTCAACAGGGTCCAAAACTAAACTTAGTTTAATTTTAACAAACATTGAATTCTTGTGGTTATGCTGAATCTAAGCATGAAATTAGATTATTCATTTTTGGCCCAGTTTTCAAGTTGGTCCAAATTGGGGTCCAAAATTGAACTTTGTTTGAATTACACAAAAAATGAATATATGAGGTGCTTTATATGCTGAATCTAACCGTGCATTTGGATTTTGGATTTTGAGCCCCGTTATCAAATTGGTCCACATTGAGGTCCAAAGGGTCCAAAATTAAACTTTGTTTGGGCCCAGTTTTCAAGTTGGTCCAAATCAGGGTCCAAAATTAAACTTTGTTTGATTTCAACAAAAATTGAATATATGAGGGTCTTTGAAATGTGGAATCTGACCATGCATTTAGATTTCGGATTTTGGGCCCCAGTATCAAATTGGTCCACATTGAGGTCTAAAGGTTCCAAACTTTGATTGATTTCATCAATAATTAATTCTTGGGGTTGTTTGATATGCTGAATCTAACCATGTACTTAGATTTTGGATATTGGACCATGATAGGTAAATGTCCAATTTCAATTTTTTTAGACCACATTCTTTCTGTGTCAGAAACCTATCAAATTTTTAATCACAATCCAAATTCAGAACTGTAATATTGTGTCCATACCTACCCAACTGTCCAGCGTTCAACCTCTGCGGTCGTATCAAGCTGCGCCTGGGAGCATTTTATTAACTTTAAAGTGTCTGATAAAGATGCTAAGCAAGAAAATTTCCAACGAAAATCAGCAGGCAATTTTTAATTTTCTTAAGATTTTTGCCTGGTTTATCACAGTGATTATCATCAGTCCCTTCTCTTGCATAGACACTTCTTGACTTGATCAATCCCCATTTTGAAATTTTCACAGAATTCTGTTTTAAGTTTCTATTATGATTTTTAGCTTTAAAACTACGATAAAAATTCAGCCAAATACTAACAAGCCTGCTCTTGAAAAAAAACCAACAAAACATATAAAAAGTAAAATAACAAAAATACCGAACTCCAAGGAAAATTCAAAACGGAATTAATGTCCCTTATCAAATGGCAAAATCAAAAGCTCAAACACATTAAACGAACGGAAAACAACTGTCATATTCCTGTCTTGGTACAGGCATTTCCTTATGTAGAAAATGGTGGATTAAACCTGGTTTTATAGCTAGCTAAACCTCTCACTTGTATGACAGTTGCATAAAATTCTATTATATTGAGAACAATGTGCGAACAAAACAAAAAGACATAATAGGTGAACATGTCAAAAATAGGGGTACAACAGTCAATGTGTTATAATCTTAATCATTATAAAAACAAACAAATATGTTAGCAATGAAATAAGACCATATAGTAATTGAGTTTCCTAGTACAACTGTTTTCTATTTTAAAAATAGTAAAGGGAGGATTATACTTTTGTTTGGTGACCTTGTACTTAATCTTGGATGCCTTTTCTGTGTAAATACATGTTGTCATACGATTTACATATACATCCCATAGAAACTCTCATTTTTGATAAGTAAACTTTTTGAAAAGAGATCCTTCCTGGTAAAGTTTAGTTGAGGGAAAACAAAGTACGTTACCTTCCGCCCTACAAGTATATGATTGTATTTATAAGTCATCGTTTGTCGTTGGTAATTAGATAAATTCGAAAAATATAGCGAATACATTATAAATTATTATACAGTACCATTATACATCATATTATTAAACTTGAACATGGTTGTACAATCGTATTGTTTTCAGGTGTCCCACAGTTGATTTTAATGAATAAAATTGATGGTCTGTCTGAGTCAGTAAGAGGAGATCTTTCCAGAATTTTTCATAGCCAAGAAGTCAAGGAGCGAGTAGAAAAACTAGCACATTCTTTGAGATTGCCACCGTACACAGTTCTACCAATGAAAAACATTGATACTGAACAACGTATTAACATAAACGTCAACATTTTGGCCTTGTACAATCTGCGTCAGATGTTAAGAGCAGCAGACGACTATCTCCTTAACTACTTGGATGAATTCAGTGGTGATAAATTTGAACCTACTTACGAAAAATCAAGTGATACCATATAAAACAGTTTAATCTGAGCATTGTATAGTAATGAACTTTTTGAACTCTTGAGGATACTACGTGTAGATTGACAATCCTTATTTTTTTTAACACAGCGGATCATCTGCCACTATAAACAATTCATGCATACATTTGAGTTCTCATTAAACACAGCATTATTGTTCACATCTTTTTCGTTGTCTATGGATAATTTTCTCATGGGCAACCATACCACATATCTTTATTTTACATTATGTTCAAAAAGTTAAAACAAATCAAAGAAGACTTTTAATGGAAACAAGAGAAAAAAAAACCTCACAAGAGGCATTATATCTTATGTTTGGTGACTGTGTTGACCGTTGTCTTTCGACTAATGAGTTTTGAATGTCCCCTTAAGCTTGATATCGTCTGCCTCTTTTTAAATGTACTTACCTAGATTACGCAAAGCAGATGAGCAATTTCTAAAACAAAAATCACAAGGACCACAGGCACTTGTTTCCAACAAAAACCAACATTTCCTAACACAAGTACCTAACTTTGAGAAATGATAACACAAGTACCTAACTCGTATTTTTGAGAAATGACACCCGGTCGCCAATTTCCGTTATATTTCAATTCCTCTGTTGTCTATTCCACTGAAACTTGTTATGCCGTAACTCTACATTAAATTATCTACAAATTGGTGTATAACACGCCTATTTCTGTTGTCGGAATCATTCGTAGTAGTCCATCCAAGTAGGTAATTCGAAAATTGTTTCGACTTCTAACAGCCAAATGGCAAGGTTAATCTGATAATTTAATGTAGATTTACGACATAAAAAGTGTCAGTGGGAAAGACAACAGCGAAATTGAAATATAACGGAAGTTCGCAACCCGGTGTCCGATGATTTCTCAAAAATACTAGTTAAATACCTTGTGTTATATTAAGGTATATCGGATTTTTTTTCTTCAAGAGACAAGTGCCTGTGTAGAAAGACATGAAATTGCATTCCAACGGCTATTTTAATACTAACGTTGATTTATATTTTTAGTTGGGCAAAATTAGCTTTCTTAGAAATTCTGCAACGTTTTTCTACTGCTTAGTCGCCTTCCTTCGCAAAGAAAACCCCATATGATTTGTTCTTGTTAAAGAAGAAACTCGAACCCGCCTTTTGTTCATGTGCCTTTCCATGGTCAGGAATTTTGTCTTCTGGTAGTTTTTGTCAAAAGGGAAATAAGGTATTCATGACACATATTTGATAGTCTTTTATGAATTAATTCCAAATTTTTTTAGAAACGGAACTATATTAATTTTTGTTTGTTATTTATACCTGATGATGATGTGTTTGATGCACAGGCTAATCATCCTTTTTAAAAGATTCACCAAGGAATCCCCGGTTAAATCTACCATATCTTAACAGTCTTTTGGAGTCAACCGAGAACAATTGTCGCGATTTTTCTAATGTTCACGTAATGTGAAACAGATAACCACATATATATTCTGAAACTCGAAATCAGCCGTTTTCTCCAAGGTTCAGCTGATAAACAAGTTTTTCTTAAGAAAAATGTTTGCATATAACATCCTTATCTAAATCTAGTAGCATTCTGTAATTTCTAGATCTGGATAAGGAACCTTTTATAATCCATCACAAAATGTTTTTTTTTAACTTCTCAACTTTAACAGAAAACGACAGAACACTACGAACAATTATTAAAGATTAAATATCAACAATTTAAAGACAAACAAATTGTCAAGATGAATAAAAACAAGAAAAATAATTATTGAAGTAAGGTGATATGATTGACATGTGGAGACTTTTTGATATTTTTGCTTTAAATACTCAAGATTGATTATCTATTCTCTGTATACTGTAGATATTTAAAATGGGGAACGGACTCGGATTTCAATGAACGCAATCTATTCATAACCGATGAATTATTGAGTCAGGGATTTTGGTGTCATAGATTACTTAAAATCTTTATTAAATTTATTCATAGGTACACAAACAACAGGACATCACATCCTATTTTTTAACGGATAACAGAGATGTGATTTACATGCGGAAGAATTTATAAATTTTTACACTTTAATGATATGTCTGCTTTAAGATACCACGATTCTCTAAGTATATTGCAGAAATTTACCACGAGGAACGGACTCGGATTGTCTTGCATTTCAATGAACTCATTCAATGTATAACTGATAAATAATTTCACTAGGGATTTTATTACCAGTAAAATTGGTACCTTTAATGTTATAACAATACATACGTTAAAACCTTATCAAATTTTAAAAGCGAGACTTGTCACGCGTTTTTCAACTCACTTTAATTATAACTGTCAAAAGAGATTGGCACGAAATTGGGTGGTAAACTATGTCTATTGTCCTTGACCTCGTTTTCATGGGTCAGTGACTTCTTAAAAACATTAGTATTTGTTACTAGAATTTTCAACTTATGATAATTATAATCGGTTAATGGGATCCTTGCAAAGTTTACTTGTTTTCAGACAGGATTCATCGGATCTTGACTTCATTTAATGAATCAGTGATCAAGGTTTACGTTTCGTGGTCAAGTCCATATCTCCAATGCTGTGAGCAATAGGTAAACTGGTGTATGGGATGATTGTGAGGTTAACATGTCTATATGGCATTTCCATGATTCATTGGTCAGTGTTCAGTTTTCGAAGTTTGGGGTCCATTTCACACATATTATAACTAAAGATCAACTATATTTGATGTATTCAATGATTGTAAGGTGTACATTTCCATCAGTCCGGCTCATCTTCCATTGACCTCATTTTTAATGTTTCATTGGTCAGTATTTTTTTTTTGTGGTTATGTCGGTGATTCACACTATACAGGAATTGATCCACAATATTTAGATTATGAAAATATCGTAAATTGCACATGTCTGTCTGGCAAGGCTTATCTTGCCTTGACCTCATTTTCATGGTTCATCGGTCAATATTTAGTTTTGTGGTTATGTCGGTTTCTCTCAGATATTATTAACTATATTTGGTGCATGGAATGATTTTCAGTTGTACATCTCTGTCTGGCATGGCTTATATGATCCGGACCTCATTTACATGGATCATTGATAATGTTGAAGTTTTGTGATACTTTTAGATCAACCTATATCATAATTATTTCCACATAAATTATTATTAGAAAATCTGGAGAGACATTTGAACGTGTGTCCAAGGTTTTTGATTATACGGAGAAATATTGAAAAAGTAAAGATGGCTGTCAAAATGATTCAGTATTATGCATCTGTTTTGAGAACATAAAATATTCAAACATTCCTCGTTTTTGCAAAGCTACTAATGGCAGATTGATGATCAAATATTTCAATGACATAAAACAGTACACAAAGGGTAATGTGAGCTTTTGCCATCACTTTGAGAATGTCGTATGCCCAGCCTTCGTCCGTCATCCATGGATTATGTTTTATCTGCTGAAAAGGCGTTCTATATTTCCAATCAAAATGGTAATGACATTGTTTTGTGGTATTTTAATTCACAATGTTTGCAAGATGCGGATTATAAATATACCGGTAGATTTTATATTTCTGATCGTGAAAGATCAGGCGCTTCAGTTGTTGATCGCAAAAGATCCTGTATCGCTTAATTGTCTTTTTAAACATCGAAAGCGTCCAAATCATGACATCCAGTAATTGTATTTTAAATTATCATTGTAATTGAAGACTTAACTTTTTCGACTTATTCTATATATGTTTTTAGGAAAAAGTACTACGACTGTTTGATTTTATTCGTGAAATGTTAAAACCTCTTACAGGAACTACACGAAGTCGGCAAACCATGTCACTCTCGAACAAATTTCTGTACTAGTCATAATAAAATCAATGCAGCTTAATTACTTTTTTTTTTAACTTTGGATTTTTAAATAAATTTGAAAAATATCATTTCAAAACCCTTCATAAAAAATTCTGATTGCAATATGTAGAACTTCATTTGACTAAGAAATTCTTTGCAGTTTGCAGTGTTTGTTTTAGTATGAACGCGAAATAACACTCCGTTTCTACATATTTTTTTTGGATTATCTCATTGCCACACAATGTCCATAATGCGGCGTGGTGCAAGCATTGCATGAATCGGTATAATGATAATCCTGTCAACATTGTACTTGACTGACATACCGAGATTGATTTTTCGCGTTCCAACTTACTATAGCGACACCTATGTTTAAATCTCGTAAATCGACAAGGAAGAGACAAATCCAACAAACAAAAACCAAGGGAATCCCATGAACTCCCAAAGGATTGAGACTGGGTGCGTCGACAGTGTAAGAGTCTCCTGCTATGCATGCATCACCTACTTAGCAAATTCACACTCAAGTCAAAATGCAACAACTGGGAATGGCACACAATCGGCATTATTACAGATCAGACGACTATACTAGTTTCTAAAGATCTAAGACTGTCGCTAGTGAGTTGAGACACGACACATCGTATCGCTTAATCAATTCGTGGCGGTTACCGTAAAACTCATGAAGTCTCGATTTCAGTCGTTCTTTCTCATAATTCTGTTAAAGCAGTTTATGTGTAAGGATTAAACTCCTGTTAATGAAGTCCATGTAGTGTGAACATGCGTATTACCTGAGATATGTAAAGCCATACGGACCACTGTTTTGCTGTTATTCCTTAGTGCTGCGTGCGTAACGCAAATGAATTGACTGTCGGTTTTTTTAAAATATACAATACGAAGGTACAAATCAAGAAGAAATGCCATTACCCCTAAACGGAGACGAGAACGGATGTGTCAATAGGATAAGGGTCTCCTGCCATGCACGCATCACCTGGTATGCAAAGCCAGACTCTTTCAAAATTAACATGATCGGTAACAAAACTCATCAAAAATAACAGGCTTATACTTTGGTATGCCTGATGCACGTTTTGTCTTCATAAGACCCATCAGTGACGCTCGAATCAAAACAGTTGGAAGGTCAAATCAAATACGTAGTCAACAAAAGTTGTTCCAATAACGGCATTCTATTCCTGGGGGGTAGAAAACTTAAATATTTTTGATAATTCAACTTTTATAAAAAGTAAATTTACAAAAAAATGAAAATATTCATGTCAACGCATGTCAAAGTGTATGCTTGTATGCTCTCGGGGACGAAACTTCCACCAGTGTTATCGACCTAGGGGTTTGTTAAAACTCATAAAAATACCAGGCTTATAATTATG